CTGTAAGCTCTGCGAGGTCTTTCAGACACTTCCACATCCGCTTCATGTTTCCGTTATTGCTGTGAACTCTGCCTTCCATATACATCTTCTTCTTATACGTAATAGTACTTTTGTATAGTTTCTTTATTACATTATATTCATCCCAGTATCCTGTTTCTGTGGCAATATTATATAGCTCAAGTTTTCTTTTATGGAGAGCTACAAGCTCGCGGTCATACCACTTATTTCTCAGTTGTATTTTTGTTTTTTTCACATATGTCAGTGCTTGCATTACTTCAGTAAGAATATCGTTCAGGGCTATAGTCTTATTTTCTACTCCCGCATAACGAAACAAGGTGACATAAGGAAAGAATGGGAGGTAGTGAATAATATTATAAATCGTAATGCCAAGAGCAATGTTAACTCGATTATTTTAAACGTAGACGGTGTTGATATTTCTGACTCTTTGGAAGTTGCTAATGACCATAATACCACTAAAATTCGACCACTGTTAATTTTACAGAAATGTCTCATACGTAGAATTTGCAACGTCGGTCGTCTAGCACATTCTTTGGATCTTTTTAAAAAACTTAATATTCTCCCCGTGAAACACTTGTATTATTATAAAGTTTTGAAAATTTTCTTTTTGAGGAGCGGCTATCTACAAAGCCCAATACACACTTCCTACAGTCTGAGGAGTAAATCACATTCTCATGTTGCTGTTCCTAGCTCTCGCACTACGTTTTTCCGTAACTTTTACACCACAATATCTTGTAAATTGTTTAATAAGCTACCCAAAGTAATCCAAGTCATTAGAAGATTATCCGTATTTCTTAAAGAAATTAAAGTGTGGCTTTTTGGTTTCAACTACGACGAAATCGAAATTCTGTTACGACCTATTATATAATTATTTACTATTTGTATTATTTCAAGGTTTTAATCGAATATTGCATTATAATGTAATGTTTTCATTTATATATTGTACAAATATCTACATATTCGTGCATTACATATTTAATATATTAATCTATTGTTATTTTTCTTTTTCCTTTTTGCCTGGTGATTTTCGAAATGCGCCCCACAGCATTTAATAATTTATAATAAATGAAATGGCATTACCTCTGTTCTTTCATTGAACACTTAAAGCCATTAACTATTTTCTTATTTAAGTTCAACATGTGTACTGATATATATTTTTAGTGAAGAATGTAAAAATGTTATGAGAAAATAAAGAATAAACAAACAAACAAACAAACAAACATATAGCTCCCATACAACTGATTGTTCAGATATGAGATTTTTCGTTATAACTTCTCCATTTATGCAGCTGGGAACATGGCATTCCGCAATATTTCCATCCATTATCAAAAACATGCTTACAGTGAAAATGGCGAAGATCGGGTCGCTATAACCTATAGCCTCCATACAACCGATTGTTCAGATTCGAGATTCTTTGTTATAACTTCTCCATTTATGCAGCTAGGAACATGAAATTTTGTATTACTTCTACCCATTATCAACAGAAAACTTAGAGTAAAAGTTACAAAGATCGGGTCACTATAACCTATAGCTCTCATACAACTGATTGTTCAGATATAAGATTTTTCGTTATAACTCCTCCATTTATGTAGCTAGACACATGAAATTTTGCACTGTTGTCACTTATTATCAAAAGAATACTTTCAGTGGAAATGGCGAAGATCGGGTCGCTACAACCTATATCCAACATACAACTGATTGTTCAGATATGAGAATTTTTGCCATAACTTCTTCATTTATATAGCTAGAAACATCAAAATTCGCACCCTTTTCACTCACTACTAACAGAATACTTACAGTGAAAATAACAAAGATCGGGTTACTATAACATATATCTCCCATACAACTGATTGTTCAGTTATGAGAATTTTCGTTATAACTCCCCATTTATGTACCTAGGAACATGAAATTTTGCAATACTTCCACCCATTAACACCAGAATATACAGTGAAAATAACAAAGATCGGGTCACTTTTACATATAGCTCCCATACAACTGATTGTTCAGATATGCGATTTTTTGTTATAACTACTCCATCTATGTAGCTCGAAACATGAAAATTCGCCCTATTTTCACTCATTATCAACAGAAAGTTTACAATTAAATTAACAAAGATCGGGTCACTATAACCTGTTTATTGCCCCCATACAACTGATTGTTCAGATATGGGGTTTTACTGTAAAACTCCTTTATTTGGACAGCTAAAACCGATAAATTTCGTAAGCTATTTTTTAAATAATAATACAAAGTCTACTGAGAAAATCGTCAAAATCTATGCTGTATAATCATAATCTCTTGTACCACTGATTGTTCAGATACCAGTTTTGGCGATATATGTATCTCCTTTATGTAGGAAGCTAAACCCATTAAATTGTGTTACCGGTTTACGTACCGATCACACAGTAGTGAAAATCACTTAGATTGGTGCTATATAGTATAGTATAGTATTTATTTATTACGGTCTTTAAGACCTAGTTGATGTTAAGTTAACATTTGTTTCATTAAATATTCAGTGTTTTACAATATAAAAATAGTTTTATTTTAAACTTATTAATATTTTCACAATCTTTTAACGCAGTAGGTAGTTCATTGTACATTTTGTACCCTGTGTATTCCAAAGTATTCTTTGCAAACTCTGTTCTTACTAAAGGCAGTCTTATATTATTGCAGGATCTAGTTCCATAATTATGTATCTCGTGATTATATAGTATTTTATTGCTAAGGTAACTCGGTAGCATTCCTAATCTTACATGAT